AAGAAGTCAAAAAAACTTCGGCATTACTAAATAAAAAATATTAAAAATTATACACTTCGTGTTTTAATTTTTCATTTACTTATTCACTAAAAACCATTTCAAATTTGTAAGGCATTATAGATAAATTTTATGAATAAGAATAATAACATATGGATATAATAGTTGCTAACTCAACGAAATATGAAACGAATTACAATGCAAATACATCTGGGTAAACATGTGAATTACATCTGTATTCATTTAAAATTGTACCAAATATATAAATTCGCGAGGCATTTTTTTTTACTACGTGTTGTTTATAATTGAGCGTGTAAAGCTTTATTCGTTTTACCTTAAATCCAAATTCAATAGAAAAATGCAATAATATTTCTACTAGGCTTTGGCTCAGAACACGCAATTTATCTCGTGATGTTAATTGTAATATATCGTCACGTGCAGTCATTATTGGATTGACTTTTGACAAGGAAGTGTCGAAACGATTGATAACATTACGTATAACATTAATTTGATGTTGTAACATAATACATTCCTGTTGGGATTAAAATCATTAATAAAAATTATAAAAATATTTGTATTTCATTTACTTACTTCGTACAAATTAATGATTTTTAAATTATCCACCACATTTGCCTCTGTCTCATGCTGCTTATTAATAAAAGCCTGCATGTGAGCAACATTTGATATTTCGCAATTTAGCACAGGTGATAACAGTTCCAATAATTTACAACTCGCTAAGCTATAACGACAGTGTACATCTTCATACAAAGAAGTCAATGCCTTTATTTGAGCTTGTAAATTTTGTGGTTGGCGCGTAACTTTCTTCAATACTGTATCACCATAGCAATCACTATCTAACACAACAGTATGACCATAAAATGAACCTATCGGTATCTTACATTTTGTGGATGACATGCCAATGCGACCAATAATGGTGATTTTCATGAAACGACATATTGGCGGTGGTTGTAAATCAGTCAAAACTAATGTCTTAGTGCCGATATCATGTGTTACTGTCAAACGCACACTGTCAGTTTCTTCATCAAAACACCAAATATCTATGTGTAGCGATGCGAGCTCATCACAAGCTGGTATTACTAAGTCGGTTAATAGGATATGCGCGCCGAAGTCTAGCACAACAAAACGGCGAGCGCCAGAGTGCATACGATCGATAACAATCATTTGTTTCGGCGGAGGCAAAAGCAATTTATGCCAAGAGAAGACATTAGTTGTAATATTTTCCTTGTTCACATGAGGTAGTTGTGCACTTTGTTTTTGCGTTATGCGTTGTTCTCCATTATTATTATGCATTTTAAGCACATCTTTAACTGTTGTTTGAGTTTCATCTAACTTTGTGAGGGCATCCTCCAAAGCTGATAATTTTGCTTGGGCTGATATTGCTTTTTCTTTAAAAAGTTCCGCTTTATTGCTAGCGGAATTTTTAGTTGTGTCATCACATAGCTCAATGTATTTGCAAATTGCTTTGAATTTTGGCAACATAGAATTGTATTTCGATGATAAATGCGGCAAATGCTCAAAGTCTAAATAAAAAAATTTTATCAATAAGGAGTACTTTTTAATTACTTTTTTTTATTAAATGAACTTACGAGAAACGCCATTGGCTTTTTGTTCAACTTCTTTGGGTTTCTTTAATTTAAGATGTTTATCAACAATAATATTTTGGACATTATTAACAATGTCGTGTATCTTTAAAGAAAAACAACTAACAGTTGATCATTTCATATAATCTATGTTTTGTATACCTTATCAATATCGGGATCCTTTAAAACATCTACGGAAACAGATTGCATTGGTCCCATAATAATATCTTCCACATTTATACTCGACCCATTGCCAGTTGAAATTGAATCCAAATTATCTATGCGAGTAGCTTCAGATGTTGCAGCACAAGAAAAATGCAACTGTTCTACCTCTAATAAGCCTCGCAATTGGTTGCTCACACTTTTACATTTTATCAAATGTGGGAATGTTCGAAAATCTACGCTATCTATTTTGTTTATTTTAAATATATATATATTAATATATATTCATAAAATTTTTTAAACTATATATAAATACCAATTGAACAGAGCTTTTTAATATCCATACCAGCTGTTTGCATTGCACCTGCATTTTGTCGCATGATGCTTAAAAAGGTTGAAGGAATTGGTGCGGTATTCTTGTTCATGCTTGGTAACTCATAATCGAAAATTTCGGGCTCAAATGGAAAACCATACATGCCAAATCTGTTATAAATAATGTTATAAATTTGAAAAACCAATTTCATATATAACTTACCTGGTTCCTAGTAATGCACCATACGGATCCCAACGCTGCGAAATTTCTGCAGATATCTTGGTTAACAACTTTATGCATAATTCAGAAATTTCGTTATGCGAATCAGCAGTAGATGTGGCACAAACCAATGTTGTAAACCAATGTACAACACTCGCATGTTTTGAAAGTGGCAACTCCTTGAATGTGGATGATATAGCCGTTTTAACAGCAACGCTCAAATTAAGTTCATTCTGAAGTTCACTAGGCATGTTACCTATCCCACTGAAAATCAAAAATACAAATTTAAATGTTTTACATCCTTACAATTGATTAACACTTCATTTATAGTATGATTTTTGTGCCGTTAGGCGATGTAAAATATATAATAACACATATATATATATATACATATACAGAAAGACTGTCTCTGCAGTGTGCAACAAAATTTTATGAGTTCTTATTTTTTTACGATAAGTAATATTATAATATACTTACTCTGTTAATATAATTATTACTTTCACACATTTGTGAGCGATCGAACGATCGCTATGAATGATACAGTTACGAATGATACTGTGTATGTACTTTTCAGCTATAGAAATACATTCAATTTGTTGTGCTACAAGATCCACATTATAATGTTGCACATTTTTATTCAACTGTGCTTTCATACTTTCAGACTTCGAGGAACGATAACGATTCAAGCGTATAAAACAAATCCATATCAATATATCTAAAGCAAGATTTTTTTCTAGCCTCGAAGTTTCAGTAGAACTTATAATCAAAAATAAATTCTCTAATAGCAGTTTACTTTCAAGCATTGCAATTCGTTGTGTACGTTCATTAGGTATATTTATTGTCTTTACACCACGTACAGATATAGATATTTCGTGTAACCAATCGCATCCTATAAACAAACAATAATAGCAGTATATTTATTATGTATATTTAATTAAAATATTTTTTAATTATTACCACGTGTTTTAGCTTGACCATCCTTACTTTGATCTGACATAGTTCGTAAATGCAATAAAAAGTTTCGTGTACGAGTTTTAAATAGTTTCGGTGAGGTTAATGTCATTACACCACCCTGATCGCACAGGTCAATACATGAGGAAAGTTCAATGGGACCGACCAATATTTCGGCATTGTAGGTTTGCAAGTATTCATCAGTTAATACTGGATTTTCATTAACTGGAAAATATAATTAATTAAAAAAAATTTTTTATTTAATATACAAATCAATCAGCTAGTTATTTAAAAAAGTTTAAATATATTATTTTAGACAGAGATATACTCGGCATATTCTTTACATTTAATTACTGACTTTGAAAATGATCTAGAAACAATTAATACTAAACTATTAGTATTTCAGAAAAATTTAAATATTTTATATTAAGTAAGAGATATACTCTTTAAATTATTTTTAATTAATGTTAAATTTATACTATTTATATGCTCTTTATATTATTTTTGATAATTGTTTATAATCAAATACTGACTTTAAGATTGATTTTAAAATATATTCTATTTTTATAATATTCTATTCTATAATATTCTAAAATATTCTATTTCTAAATTATAGTTACCATCAGCAGTACTTGGTATAAAATCATCATAATTTTTCGTGTTACATTCCTGATAACAAGCATTCGGTCCTTTCATACGATAACCAAATCCACTTGTATTCTGCTTGAGCAAAGTCACTTGTATAGCTGCAGGATTATGACATTGCTGGAATAATGTGAATTTCAAGTCAATGTGGCCTAGTTGAACCGGCTGATTTAGATTCAACTCAATCGTATGTTCGTCCCAAGTAGTACTACAAACATTAAAATTTAATTCACATATTATATTTTCAAAACTTGAGTATAAAAAAAGTTTTTATTAAAAAGAATAACAATGTAACGTCAGCTATGATTGCCATTTTTCATACAAAATCCAAATAAAAATGTGTTAATTAGGTTCAGAAATTATATGTGTAAAAACAGTATTAGATATAAATATATACATACGCATCATTATGTAGACGCCATGTTTTAACATGTTGGGTATCATCTCCATTGCGTAAATACTGCGGTTGTTTTCTTTGTTTTTGTGCCTGTACCATATCATTCCAACAGCTTGGCACTTCAGCTGTATAAGCACTTAATTTGTCATCAAATTTTGTAAGATCATATAAAGTACGTAAATCCTCTATTAATAAAGAACTTTTAAAAGCTATGCAATTCGCTGCAGTTAGTGGCGTAGGAGATGGAGACTGATGTGTTAGAGTCAAAATATTTGTTGCACTGCAGTCAACTCCTAATACTCCTTGCGGTATACATGGTAATGGTAATTTACCAGAATTAAGTCCATTCTTATAAACTGCTAAGTCATTAATGTCAATATTAGATGTGTTGGTAACGTTTTCATTTCCACCATCTGTCACCGTTATTTCTAAATTATTAGTGGATTTAACACAAACATTTGACTCATCATCCATTTCAAGCATTTCATCTCCAGATTCATTATCTGCATCGTTAAAAGAATAAAAAATAAGCGAGCCCTTACTTGTGCAACCACATAAACGATCTAGTGTACGACAATAAGCAATAGAAGTAAAAGCTTCTCCATTGACTTGTATATCAGTAATATGTTTAAAATCCGTTAATGAATAAACTTTAATTGTACCATCATTACAAACCACGCATAATGCTCCATACTGCACCTTTCTTCCAACTTCGGAGTTTGTTTCCTCATTTTCCACGACAAGTTGGAAATTAGGTAATATGCAAAGCTGTTTTGGTTGCTTTTTCCGATTAAATGTGACTGCTAACGTATATTCATTCGATATTACACCATCAACATAATCGAATAACAACAATTGAGCAACTAAATCGTTACCATTAAAATCGGAAGAATCTAAAAAAATAATTATTTTTACATTATTACATATTTGTAACAATCATATTGGTATTAGACTCTACTTACCAACTAACTGCTCATATTCTACATCCTCTGTTGTTGCCATTATAAGTTTTTGTTCTACTTTGGAAGGAAGTTTAGTTTTTTGCAATTTAACCAGTAGTTGATTGCAATCACTATTTATTGGTAAGATTTCACTTATTTCAACGATTTCATTTTCGAAATCATCACTAAAAGTGTTCATACGTTTAACGCTTGTGCAACTCTCAAATACGCATTCAATGTCCTCACACGGTGGAGCTTTTGAAATGGTACTAACATTATTGTTGTTATTCATGTAGCCATTCATTGTGATATTCTGATTTTTCTTCATTTGAGCGGCAGCTAATAAATTTTCTTTAAAATAATTTGCGTCCATATCCATATCTATTGAAGGTCCTGTATTCATTTTAGCATCAAATGGATTTACAATTATCAAATCCGTTTGCATATGTGATAACTCAGTATTAATCAAATCAGTCAAGGCCATTGCATTCGACTTATCTTCAGTTCCATCGGTATTCATAATACTAAGGGCAGAAACAAACCCATTGCTATCGAAACCATCCGCATACTTTTCAAAATTAGCGCTAACTGTTTTGCTGTCATCGTCTTGTTGTTCATATTTGAGTGGTAATTGTTCGTTAACAGTGTCATCTCCTTTAAATAATACAAGCAGATAGGGTTTTAGGGTGAAAAATGTAAATAAAAGATATTATTACTTACCGTCACTGCTTGTGTTTGATGTTTTCGGTTGACTAACGGCCACACTACTTGTACTACTTCCTTCAGTATTCTCATTTATTCGATCACATTCTACAATATTGAGAACAACCATACGCAAGGCATGCTCGCCCGTGCTTTTTTGAATACTTATGCCTAGTACAATTTTAGATCCAACAACGCCCACTCTCAAAGATGATGAAGATATACATTGTTGTGCACCAGGTGTGCTCGCAACTCCATTGTTACTAATTTGTGTGGCATGCATAGCATTAATTTTACGTTGCGCG